CTACACATAACACTATATATATATATATATATATATATATAGTACTATATATATATATATACTATACTGTTAGAGCCCTTTTTTGTTTCAACTGGGCTGCTCAGCTTCTGGGCGGCCGCCTAGGCATTGGGCGGCCTGGACCCCCCAGGCTGCCTAGGCGCTTTTTGAAACACTGATAGCCACAATTGGATCCCACCCCCAACCAACAGTCATCAAATTGAATTTCGTTTGTAGCTATAGGGTAGCTTAGATCCAGGTAGTCCTCGATGTGTCTATCGAAATCAACAAGGAGAAGTTTGTGTATGTATTCTGGTACAATTGAAACATATGTCGCTAATGATGCTGAAACTAGAGCTCTATTTGCTGGTTTTAAAACATAAAAGTCTGCGTGGGGGCCTTCTATTGTTGAAGGAGACTTAGCAAATGCCATAAGATGGCATTAAAATCCCCCAAGTGACCCAAAGAGACTTCAAGAAATATTCAGCAAACTTCAAGATAATTTACTAAGCTCATATGTGATCTTTCAACACTCTTGGTGAATACCAAATGAGCTTGTGATACCATAATTTAAGAAGAATGGTCAGATATAGACTGTTTTTTTTTTTTTGATAATGTTAACCTTGTATTACTATAAAAGAAGAAGTATACAGCAGAAAGAGGGACGAGAGGAACGAGAATACATTCGAGACAGGTATCTCAGTCTACAAGTAGCCAAAAACCCTATACAATCTACAACCTTTTGAAGCGGCTGTAACCAAAAAAGAGGATACACAAAAAATTGGGCTTATAAGCTCGCCCTTTTACAAAAATGTACAACCAGAAAAATTAAGTGTCCTTGGAGATCTCGAAGGTCAGATCTAGACTGTTCATAACTCCAACAATATAAGTTGAGATGTTCTTAAGTTTGTACACAGGAACTTTTTTTTGTCCGTAGTACACTTGTGCATCGACTTTGTATGATTTGATTTATCAATACAATACAATATTGTGATTAGTCAGAGAGAGAGAAAATCAAGTGAATTTTATCCCAGAATCTGGACCCACAACTTGATTGTCCAGCTTTGAAATGCATTCTGAATCTTGGTTCCCATGGGAGCTTGTTTTGTCATCAAACAAGCCAAGCTGGGGAGATTTCAAAGAATCAAAAACCCAAAGAATTGACTCATGGTGGCAAAAGTCATATGTCACCCAAAAACAAAACAAAAAAAGTGACCTTGTGGTAAAGGTGGTTTGCAAACACTAACATTTGCGTCAACAACAGGCAACTTGATAGATATCTTTTCTGCCATCGATAAATTTTTTAAAATGGGTAAACATCGTACAGACCCCTTAAAATGATATTACTTTCATAATAACCCTGGCCCCATTGTTTGTTTCTGGCAGCATTAAAAAATTTTAAAATCTAGCGTCCTATTCCCTCCTCATGGACTTCACTCTTATCGTGTTTCCGTGCTTGTTCATTGCCCAGGACAATTTCCTTTATTATATTTAAGTCATTTCCCTCTCTTCCCCCTTTATCCCAATAACTTAGCCCTTTGTACTCCCTATCTCTTCATTCCAGAGATCTCTCAGGACTTGAATATAGTAAAACAAATTGTTTAGCAACTTTAGTTCCTTCCCTCCCTCCCTTCCTCTGTCTCCATTCCTGAGATCTCTTGGGTCTTGAATACAATAAAACAAAGTGTTTAGGGCAAGTAACAAGCATAAAAACATAAGAATATGGGAGGGATATAAGCAGGGGGTGCCCTCCCTCTCCATTCCTGAGGTCTCTCAGGACTTGAATATAATAAAACAAAGTGTTTAGGGCAAATAACAAGTATAAAAACATAAGAAGAGGGGAAGGACATGTTGAGGGGGTGGAACGATAGATATTTCAAAATTTTAGTGCCACCTGAAACAAAAAACAGGCAAGGTTATTATGACATATTTTTAGGGAGTCTATACAATAATTTCCCTTATAAGATTGTTCAATGCCAATGAATGGTCATTATCAGAAAAAAGATCCAAGAGAAAATTCAGACCTGATCTATCCTGGGTTTTTTAAATAGGACCTATCCCAATACAGATGAGATAGTTGGAGGCCTGCCAAGTAAGAGCGTGCCATAAGTTCTTTGACTACGGTACACATCACAATCAATTTTTTGTACTGGGGAGTTTGAAAAACATGGACATAGTAAGAAACAAACCTCCTAATATTGAAACAGAAGAACATAGTTTGTAAAAAGGTGAACGTTTCTCAGACTCATTAGCTGTTCATGAATCAAAATCAAAGGCTAACATGATGGCTACCGCATAAATTAAAGGCTGCAATGAAACTCCAAGAGAGTGCATGCACTTGACCCTGACCTGTTCTCTATGTCATTTCCCCCAGCTGGAAGAGCAAATGGCTGGAGTACTTGAGGAAGAGCAACATCCTTGTGCGGTATGTATCCAACATCATAACTTGGGGAGCATACAACTCGAATGCTGTTCTTGACAAGATGTGAAAGCCCTTCTGTTGATCTCACACCAACATCATGACAGGTGACAAAGAAGTGATCAGCACCCAAAGTCCTATTCCAGTAAGGGTACTTCAATATCAAACCTTCAACATAGTCCTTGACAATTACAGTCATGTTCGCGTAAGAAATGCCCTGAAAAAGAATTTGGCATACATCATAATGAATGTGATATGAGTCTGACACAAAATGCAACAGAAGAGCATGTAACTATCTATAAAACAATGAGAATTGGGCCAAACATCAGAAAATAGTATCCCTGGAACTGAAATACAAGCAACCGAATACTATTATCTCACATATAAAAATCATTAAACAACAAGGAGTAGAACTGATGGGTTGATGCACTAGTGAACCTATGACATGCTCCAGCCTTGCAAATAAAAGTCCAACGAACTAAAAGAACAAGTTGCTCACACTTCTTCTTTAAAGAAAAATAAAGATTTCTATCAACTATCCTGTAAATCATATGGCACAGTTAAGCAACTAACACCTTAAGCAAATAACACCTATTTGGAACAGCATTGTGCTGAACTTTTCAAAAATTGACTACATTCTATTACTCTCTTTCATAGTTCTGTATGTGAACAAAATTGGGTAGAATCTGTATCAAAAGCAGAAAAGAAAAAATAACTACAAAATGAACTCCGTATGGTAAGCAACTCATTTATCTGAGTTCCTTCTTTTGCAAAGGAGTCCGCTGCGGAATATGACTCCCACCAGTGAAAAGATAGCTTCTCAATGTTTACATTACTCAGAAACCTCATGGAAAATGGTTGATTAGCTCCAAGGCTACTAAACTTCCTACTTGGCCCAAGAAAACATTTCATGAATCTCCTTCCACGCCACCAGGGTTTACCATGGCAATTCTAGGCGCATACCTGTTAAAAGTACTCAGGCTTCGGCATCGCTGGAACGATCGCACACTAAAGCTGGTTCTCATTAGGTGGAGATGACTTCACTTTGATGGTTGTGAAAAACACCACCCAATCCAGTCTTTCCCGAATTCCCTTTGGAACTGCCATTGAAGTTCAACTTAATGGTAACTTCTGAGGGTGATTACCATCGGGAGGTTGAGTGGTCCAGATTATTGTGCTAAACTTAGAATGCATGCAAATCATTACATATGGAAGCTATCCTTCTTTCCAAATACAGCCATATGCTCTAGGGAACAATGACCACACCGTTGCACCACATTCTGGATAGAACACAGCTATTCTTCCTTATTTCATGAATGATTAAAAGATCTCAATGTTCTCAATTTTTATTTGTTGACGATAGAAGGAAACAGGTTTTTAACAATTGTGGTGGCAACCCACCAATCAAGAAGAGAAAACAAGAAGCCAAAACTTGTTCACAGCCTTAATGAAAGAATGCATTAAGGACCAATTTAACCCGAATTCAGCATTCCTCTGCTCCTCACACACACAGAGACATGCATATGCACATGCACGCACATGTGCACACACCCACACCCACACCCACACCCACCCCACCATGCTGGTATCATCTTTGAGCTATAAGGTCCCCATTCTTGTTCCTACATTCCTAAATAATTGTGTTACACCAATTTAACTAGTGTGTGCATTACAAAAAAAAAAAATTTAACTAGTGTGTGACCATTCTATTTCCCTCAAGCCAACTCCTGCTAATCCATTAGTATCTGCCCAGAAAAACAAATCCAATTCCAGCTTCTCATTTAACCATAAATTTGTTTCTGAACCTTGCATCCTTTCAGCCTCTCTAAACACCTGTTTTACTTGAGGCCCCATTTACTAACAAGGAATTACTGTTCACTGCACTTGTTTCACTTTAGCCTCCATTTTACTAACGAGGGATTACAAAGGCCAATTTTTTGAGCAATAATTCTCCTCAAACCACAGCCTTCAACATGCAATGATGAAAAAAACCTTCACTAATCACTACAATATTCTCAAACCTTCACTTCCCAATCCCAAGGGGACAACCAACCTGCCACCATTCATTACAAAGTTCCACTACTTTACAGCGTATGTTTGTCTGGCCTTGCAACCATCCTCAAAAGCTTTTTAACTTTCTTTTTCTGGTAACTAACTTTTCATTCTACATTGCTTGAAGAAGCTCCCAAAGCTTCTTTATGCTCCTCCCTGCCCCCTTTTTCATATTAACAACATACCCCACCCCAAGGAGACATAACCCTGACGCGATCCAAAACAAAGTTCCAGTACTCTATATTCTATGACAAAGACCTGTCATCCCTTCTGACAAATGTAATGCTTTCTTATTATTCTCTTTAAGATCATATGCCTCGCCCTAAAGCCAAACCTACATCAGCTTCTCTATATTAGCCCCATCATCCCCTTTGCCTATACCAATAATCCAGAACTTAAGCCCAGAAGATTCAAGTCAAGCCAAACTGGAAAATGAATATAGACATATTCCAATTGGTAACAAACTAAAAGGTTTCAAAGGATGCTCATGAAGAAGAGTTTATGAGAAAACTGAATTAATGTATAAAGGCATTTAAGCCTAAAGAGAGACAGAAATGTGCTTCCATACATCTACGAGAACTAAAATCATGTCGATGAGATTGGTTGAGGTGACCACGGGCATTGTAGATTATGAGGAAATCTCCATCTATCTCATTGAGGATTCCTTGTTGACTAGCAAGTCCTCTAAGTAGATGAATTTCAAGTTTTGCAAAGCACATAATTATGCATAATAGAGAGGAGTTAAGTTATAGAAGATGCACTTTTGACGTTTTGCAAATTGAAAGCTAAGAACTGGCTTAAGGATAGAGACAGGCCCCTGCTCTAAGAAATGATGGGCCTTCAAGATCCAGTTTAAATGAATTATGAAGTTTTGCTACTACAATGCTTTTTTGCATGACAGGGCCTAAATAGTTGAAGGATTCAGAGCTCAAAAGACTCAGAACGGTGGAAAGAAGTTATTTCATATAGGAAGCATTGTTTATACACTAGGGAATTAAGGGTTGTGGGGCACTCAATCTTACAAATGGTTGAAATGAAAGAGGTACATATGCACTGTGCCAAAATAGTTTAGCGATACTGATATTAGAACTTCATCACATCCAAGATGATGAAAATATCAACTATTGTAAGCATAGTGATGCAATAACTTAGAAGAGTGGTTTGTAATGTACAGCTTTGTTCATATGACCTTTGTACTTAGAAAGAGGACCCTATGGTAATTTGTTATGATGCCAACTCTAACCATTGTAGTCAGTCATTTCAATTTAATATGATAAACTATCACCAGTAAGGGGCAAAAGAATGGTTAGTCAAAAACTCAGATCATTCATATCAAATGTGACTACTAAATTTTCATAGTAAATCAACAGGCCAAGAAAAACTAAACCAAAATGGCCCAATGATGCCCAATTTTCTAATGACAAAAATGGCAATGGGCCTAAAAACGTTAAAAACGAGAAAATAGAGAGAAAAAGCAAAAATCAATGGAAATTCACCTTTCCTCTGATCTTATGGCAAGAGATCGGGATGAAGAAGAGATGAGCTTCATCAGCATTCATCGTACGAAACCTACTCTCTCTGATATTCTGAAAAAAGCAACCCTCGCTTGCATACTTCCCCGTAAGCTTTCTCGGTGTCTGGTAATAAGTGTTAGGGTCTCCATCTTCATATATATAAACCTTGAATTTCTCCTCCATTTCCATATAATTCCTTCTAAAAACCTCTGGCGAGTGGTACACAGGAGCAAGATCCTCATCTGAAACGACCTTTACATCAAACCCTAGTGTAAAAACAACAGTCATACAAATGATAAAGCGAGAACTCTCATTCCAGATGAGAGGGAAGAGAGAAAACTCATGTTGCATACACGAGAGATAGAGAGAGAAAGCACCTGAGAGGAATTTGGGAGAGGGTCCTGGTGACGCTGAACAGGAACCTGCGGAGATTTTAGAGAGAGAAACTCAAAAACATAAAGCACTGAAAATGGGAAACGAAAGTGAAGAGAGAGTAAACGTAGAGAGAGAAAGAGAGAATGTGGTTGTACCTGAGTGATCTTTGGTTGTAGATCAGGGGCGTATTGGAGAGGAGAGTGGAGGGATCTTAGAGAGAGAAAGAGGAAAGAGAGTAGGGTGAGAGAAGCTAGAGAGAGAATGGAACAGGTAGCAGAGGCATTTGATAAAACCATGGCAGCTACTGCTTTATCCGGCGCCTTCATGGCCGGGCAAACTCTTCAGTCTTTTAGAGAGAGAAACGGACTCCCTGCGTCCCCGACGCATATACGTTTTCTGATTGCTATTTGCACCAACGTTTTCATTATTACCACCCAAGACATGAGTGTTGATATTAGACTCCCCTAATTACTTTAGTTTCCACACATGTTCATGAGCAAAACAGGAAATTTTTAATTTTATAGCGCGAAAAACCCCGTTGACACGTGGCGTAGTAAAAAAAGAAGAGGCACGCAAAAAATCAAAAGACTGCACCCGACCCGACTCGTTTCCACCTCAAACCACTATTAAGCCAAACATCTGTTTGCGCTTCCTTTCTTCTTCTTCCCACCTTCTCACATCAATAGGCCTACGTCTTTTCTCTCTCTATTTGCACTTCCTTTCTTCTCCACAATACCCTTTACCTACCTTTCAGATAAGGGCATCGTTTCTATGCAGCCAATCCCGCATATGTAGAAATGCAGGTCTTTTAATAAATCTATTTTTCAGATGGATTTTAAGACTTAATTTTTAAAGATATGTAATTTTTAACACGGAGATCATGAATATGAAAATAAATAAATTTTAAAAACTAGAAATAATAATTCTAGTAAAAAAACATTTGGACCGTTAGTTTTCATTGATTTTAAATGGAACACTTATTTGCATCTATCTTTAAGATGGATGCTTTACACTTTCTTGACCGTATATGTAAAAATGCTATCCAGCCCGCATGAAACAATTTTTTTTCAAAAAAAATCTGTTTCTCTCTCTACAATCAACGTAGGCATTACGTAAACTAAACTACTTCCCATTTTCTCTTCCACCCTATTCAGAATAGTATAAAAAATATCGTCATCTTGAACCAAGGGTAAAGCTATTGCACCATCTGTGCCCAAACTGCCTAATTTATCTCGGGTTACGATCAAATTAGATCTTACCAATTATTTATCTGTAGAAGAAACAATTGCTACCAAATCTTTATAAAACTAGCATGCTTCTCCTTATAGACGGAACTGATGTTCCTCCAAAAGAGTTAAAGAGCATCAATGAATCGGGAGGAAAGATGCTTGCTCTTAATCCTATGTCGCTTGATGGAAAGGGATCAACTACCTTCTCAGTTTGTTTTGTTTTCTACATTTCTTACTCCAATCATCTTTGCTCTAGTGGTTGGCTATATTATTGCATGTCATAAATGGCAGGACTTTGAAAGAATCTTTACCTCTCAAACCAATGGGACTTTATCATGTCAAGCATGATCTCTCTTAAATCTTTAAAAAGGATAACTCACCATATGTGAATATATGAAAAAAAATAAGAGCTATTGTAGATGAAATGGAAGCCGTACGATAGCCGGTCTCTCAAAGGAACCTCATTTTCTATGCATTGGATGGTTTAAGTACGATAGCCGGTCTCTCAAAGGAACCTCATTTTCTATGCATTGGATGGTTTAAGTATCGATTAAGATTCTTTGATTACATCGATCACCACTAGCTTCCAGTTGACTTCTTTTGAAGCCCTATGCAATATGCTTCTTGACGTTAAAAATAACCAATTAGAGCATTATCATTATTCAACAAATGAAAATTATGTAGCTTAACTTTCTTTACATCTCATGGTTGTGGCTGCAGTCGTGGCAATAGAAATAGTGGTCTTGGTCAAAGGGGTGCTCACAGTTATCAAATTAAATTGTAATTTGTAGATTCTATATAATTTTTTTGAATTGTAATTTAAAATATCCGGCCGGTTCACCAAAATTGAAACCGGCCAATGGCCAATTCCGATCTAACCAGGTGTTTAGAATTTGAATCGCTAGATTTTTTCTACACTAAACACTAACCAATTAAGCCCAGCTCTTTTCTTAAAAAAGCCAACTAAGCAGGAAAGTGGTACATCAATAGGGATTTTTTGGATCACTGGCCCTTGTTGAAAATGGAATCAGAGACCTCATCATAAAGCTGGACAATACTACCACCAAGACCCAGGCCATTCTCATACTACAAATCCATATGATACCACTTGGTACGTACCCAAATACAGGAGCGCAACAAATTACATCACAATACATGCCTGCGTATGACCAATACAGCTCCTTGTAATGGTCAAGAGCATATAGTATCTTTTACTAAACAAGCTGACCACCCTCCAAGCCAGTGGTGTGCACAGCTTGAGGTAAGGTGTTGAGAGAGAATTTTTTACATGTGTGATCATATCATTGATCTATTTGTAATCTTTTTACGTTGAATTCTTGTTTTAAGATTTGAGTGTAACTTATCCAAAATATTGATGTACAAAACTATTATATATATATCACCCACGACTCACTAAATAATGAATGAGAGTGGATGTTTATCCAACATCTTTCTTTGAAAAATACAGCTCTCTCCTACACCCCCCCCTTCCCTCCATAAATAGCCGCAACAAGAAACTATACATCACAAATACATTATCCCACAGGAGCCATGTATCTGCTATCACATGCCAGCTGCTTCCAAGTAAAACCAATCTGAATGGCTCAGATCATGGATGAGGCCAGACATACAACAGATAATTCACATTGCGCAATTATGCTTCCTTGGCGAACCCTGCATTAAAAGAAATGAACATAAGAGAACAACAGTAAACAGGTTCAGAAAATCAAAACCTTCGGATAAATTGCCGGAACACCCCCATTTTTTTTTGGCATTGAAAGGACCAAACCCATGGGAGCACTCTACTAGATGCAAACACAAGAGAGTGAGAGAGAGCATTTGTAGGTCTTCAAAATTCAAGATTTCGTTACCATGCCTTCTTTTATAAAATAAAAAAATCGCAGCCCAGAAGATGATAAGACGAATGCCATTTAGACGGTACCATATAGAGCAAAC